TAATCTATATAAATATATAAATATTTGATTAATACCTGTAATTAATGAAGAATCATTCATTTTAAACGCAAATTGGATTTGAGCCATAGAGAAGTTTTAGTTATAGCTCTAATGCTACAAATATAACATTTTCTTTCTCTTGCACAAAATAATAAATTAAAAAGCGTGAAACTTTAGTAACATATATTCTATATTTTATTAGCTTAGGATCTCATGCAAAGAACTCTGACAGTTTATTACACGAGAACTTGAGCCGTTGCTTTTTTGGCTTCTGTTTAAATCTTATCCTTATGTTAGTCTAACCTAATTTTCATGTAGAAACTTTTTATGTTGGCATATTCTTTATTTATTGATTTAAGTTTAATTTGTAGTGTTTAATAAATCATAATTTTTAGATTCTTATTATAATTTTTGTATTTTAGGCGTTGCAGATCAGAATGTATAGATGGATATAATTATCCTGATGGTTCGAAAGAAATAATAACTACTTGCACTAAAAGTGATGGTAAATATGACCCCGTAAAGGAAATTCCTGATTGTGAAATCGCAGGTAAAATTTATTACAAATTTTTAAAGCTTATTACATGCTACTATATTTTATATTATTGAAATTCTTGTTTTTCTTTTCTTTCTTCTTCTAGAGATTTATGATTTTATTGTAATTATATTTTAACAATACAATATGAATTATTCGGAAGAGCATTAAAAGTATTTTACTAGTTTTATCTACAATAAACATGTTTAATTTAAATGACTTACTAACAGTATATAGGCCATATAATATTATATTATACGAAATAATTCGTAACCATACTAATAAATGCTCGTAGATTCTACAATAGATATAACAAGCCTATTAGTTTAAAATAATAAGCGAAAATTTATTTTCAAGTAAATTTAATTGAAAATAATTCATTCAAATGTATGAAATTATAATAATGTAACTACGTATTAAATTTAATATTACCTAATGAAGATTAAATGCTTTACACTTCATCTCTAAAATATTATTTTCTTGTGTGAAATAGAATAGGCTCTACAGAAATCCCGACAGAGATCACAGCTCTCTGTCTGGATTCACAAGCCAATTTTATGTTAATAGGGCAATTTGGTACTTAATTATAGTGACCCTAATATTTAGTCTATTATGTAAATAGCGAGTTTTTGTTTTTTAGTTGATATTTTTATGAGTATTTATTAGGAGAGAGGTAAATATTTCATTTGTGACTGACCTGTATATCATCTCTTTCAGGCTCTTCTCATAATCCTAACAACAATCGTTAAATGTAATTTGAAAAAGTCGCTAATTTACAATTATAGTTGAGATAAAATTATATAACATATCTCATTTTTTCTTATTTCTACGGTACTTTTCTTAAAATTATGATTTATTTTCATTGTAATGCAACCATTATCAAGAACAAATTGAACAGAAGCCAGCAGGATCTATTCAGACACGGGCACGTGATTTTAACCTCCAACTAAAATTACTTTTAGTTAGTGATAATAAAATAAATAAAAATATTTTTTATTTATTTTATTAATTTGATTCTTACATTTTTATGACTTCTGGAGAAAGTGGGCTCAATCTAACTAACCAAGGACTGCATCTTGTTTCTTTACGAATTTAACAGTTTCTTGCGTTAACAAATATACAGTGCTTAGCCTACTGATCCAATTCAATATTAATTTTGCACAAGGTTCTTAAAATGAAAAGTTGTAAATTATATAAAAACAATAACAAATAAACTTATATTCTAATATAATGTGAATCATTATTATCAATAAATTTTGTTTAAAAAATTTTGTTTAAATTTTAGGTGTTGAAGATACAGAAGACAAAAACTCCACTGAAGCAAACATTTGAATTTTAAGTCTTATTTTATTAATTACGGAAAATATTAATCATTCTGAATACTACATTTAATTTTAATTGACAAAAAGTAAAAAAAAAAATCGAAATATTGTGTAATTTAACTTTTCATTTAGTTATTGAAAATCTGTAATCTCATATAATAAATTATATATATTAATTCAATTAATATCATATGTAATGCACAATGTTAACAAAAATTTCACCCAGTTAATTATTTCAAAAGCTAATAGGAAAATAATTGTAAACCTTTAGTTGATGTGTACTATGTCAGTCATACTTTAAAATGACCCAGTGTTATCTAATTAAATGATGATGCAAATTTCTATTCTTTCAGCTCTTATATAGAAGAGGACGGTTGTCATCTCAGCCCCTAATGAAAATAGGCAAAATTATCAATTATATATATGTAGCACATAAAAGTATATGTACAATTTCTTTTTAGTCCATTCCTAAATATTAAGTGGAATCTTGGAACAGGTAAATGATTCACTGCATAACACTCAAGGCGGTAGCAGTGCATCACTCCGTAACACAAAGGCAATTCAGGAGTGGTTGAACGTGTGATTATGTTTAGGTTAGTAATGATGTGGCTATGCAAATAATCCGATTCAATAGAAAATATGAAATACCGTTAAATTAAACACACAAACATCACAGACGTTTGTATATGCCGTTTAATATGACATCTGTACATGCCTGTACATAATATGATATGGATATGAACATTTTCATATCCGTATTAATGCTAACTTGAACCTAACTATATATTTAACCATTTCTTCAAGACAGCGGATGGCCGCGCGGTTTAACGTGTTTATCGCTCTGTGAGACCCGGGAAGGAATCCAGATAGGTCGAAAAACATTAATAATTTTTCTTGGATTGTCCGTCCCAAATATGTCAGGCTCATCGCCTCTCCATCCGGCCGTCCAATTAAGACCCTAACTTAACTCTCGATGAATTTGATTAAAAAAAAAGTCTTCCCAGCACCCACAGAGCGAAAAAAATAACCATTAATACATTGCATTCGTGTTATGCAGTGATGCATTTTGTGAAATGAAGCATCTACCTTTACATTTGACAGCGTGTTTCCAGAATAGGCTGTCAAATATGCAATCCCACAGTAATTCCCTATCAGTTTTTGAGATAATGACCGGGGAGAAACCTTTTTGTAATGAAAATTTTATTTACTTTTAAAATGTAATATCTTCTATGATTTTGTTCTTAATAAACTATGGCATTATTACTAATTATACAAATTATGAAATTTAAAACTTTTTAAAAATTATTTACCAATTTTATTCGTCTGCTAAAAATGTTTTCTTGAATTTAAAATTTTTATTTTAAATTTATTAAATAATGTATGTTTTAAACAAGCTTGAACGAGCGTTTTATACGACATTAAATTAAATTTCACAGAACCAGCGAGATTCCAGTCTAATAATAATTTCGGATGATTATGAAATTATAATTTTTTGTAACTTCATCAAAATGGTTTAAAATAAAAAGCATCCTTATTATTTGCTGTCTTGATTGAAACTAATCAAATTAGCAGTTATATTAGTTTTATCGCCTAAAGTGCTGCAATAATATCAAAGAAAAAGCAAAGGAACCACACCTCTTTATATGATACTTCGAGAGATATAGCCCTGAGAAATCAGCGTACAGCCTGCTTCCAAGCACTATACGGAGTCAGGCTGTGTGCTCCGCTAAGATTATCGCATGTTTAACACACAGCGATCAGACAACTAACGTTATTTATCGGTAAAGAAAAGTCCGACATGTGACTCTTTGTCATATATTCACGTCCAAATGTGGAAACCCAACGGCGGCAGTCTCCATCTTGCTTGCGGATGTCATGCTTGAAAATAATTTCTGGGCACGTGATCAGTGCCTGTAACAAATAAATGCATTAACTTCTATTGACCAAAAACAGTATTTATCTTGAACCACTACTACTACCTACTCCGTGCTCCGTGTCGGTCAAGGCTCGGTATTGCTTGCCTTGACTACGCTCCACTTATCGTGGTGTGCTTCGGTGCTCGCTATCGCTCTCATCTTTACGCCCGCATGGCGGCGAGCCTTCTTACCCCCTAAAACTATATCATCTTCACGAACAGTCAAGTGGGCACAATTGCGTGCTAAATAGTTAAACGCGATAGTTCTAACAGATCGAGAGTCGCCACGCGTACTACGCGCGACTCCGATAGCGTGAGGCTGATTTCGGGAGGCCTATATCTCGTAATGTAAAGGAATGGTTCCTTTTTGACTTTATAACTCTATAGCTATAGAGCGATAAAGCTTTTTGGCTCCCTGCTTTATAGCTCTGTTAAAGGTCCCAACAATATTAATCACATCTGCAATTGTACTCAGTTTAGAATGTTCATTTATCCGTCTACAGTTCTGTACCAATCTTGCTTTTTTTTCTTATCTGCAGGGAATCTAAATAATCGAACATACGAAGATTTATTTTTACAATTTGGTCCCACGCAATAGCCCATTCTTTCACTTTATGAACACTTAAATAGAGACGACTCACACAGGAACCTCGTATAAGGTATATACTCTATCGATAAGCCTCAAAATGGCCGTTGCCGCAAAGGATCATGGGATCGTGTCCAGACCTATTTTTATAGACCTTGATATACGTTAGCATCGAGTTGCTTAAGTTTCCCGATACCATTTAAAACTGTGTGTGGTGTCATCTGTTGTGGTATTTTATTGAAAAACTTTTTATATTTTTAATTTTATAAGAATGGCAAAAAGCTGTTATAAGTAAATTATTCTGGAATGATGATGTTCATAGTTTATTTAAATATTCTCTATTATTTTTTATATAAACAATATTTATATAGCCCAACCAATTAGTGTCAGATCCTGTATCCTAGGTGGCCATGAAATTGGTCTATCACGTTCAATGCATTGTTCTCCGAACATGTCATTATGCTTGTCACTGTTACTTTGATAGTAAATTTGCCCCATTTCACGCAGAGAATGAAAAGAGACTTTATTTTTACGGCATTAAAAAGGTTCCTCGAAAATATTAAGTTTTAATTCTTATCAATTTTTTCTTACAAGCATATTTTCTGAGATATTGCCTTGTAACACCTTACGTATACATACTGTACTAAGTAGACCTTATTTTACTACAGAGATATCCGACGCTGTCCGAGCTAAAAATAATAATTACTTTTATATGGTTTAAGTGTAATTGTTTAAAAATTGGCCGATTTATATTTTACATATTAAAATATAAAATAAATTAACAATATTTTGTGAATAATTCATGAAAAAATATAAAATAATAAATATCAAATTATGCATCTTGAATATATTTTATATTTTTAATGGTTGTTTTTATTATTTCTTCTGCAGGACACAGGGTAGTATCCATTCTACTTACGCTGATAAATTGCTCTTATATGGCATAATAAACAGTATTTCGAATTTTGGTACCAAGGGAACTACTTTATTAATTTTTAACTCAATCATACCATTACATTCCTTGTAAGAAGTCATCCTTAATAAACCCTTTCGAGCTTTCTAGTTACTTCACCCTTAACTTCTGTAACGTACAGACACTCATTCAAAAATATATGTATTTATTGATTTAATTGTATAATTAAATAATTACGTATGTTACATTTTTTTTTGTAAATTCTAAAAATAAATAAGATTATTTCCGAATATGTTACATATTGTTGATCCATGTAACTTATTATATGAAATTACAAATTATCAGTAACAAAATAATAATTCAATGAGTTAATATTCTCGATTTTCTGGATTACAGTATTTTATTTCGAGTAAAATCAACTAATATTCAGAATGATTAATATTTCCGTAATTTATATTCTTATTTGGGAAGAAAACTCAATGATATTATTGATAATTTAGAAAGCTCTTCTTTACCTAAAATAAATATAGATGATTTTTTTAATCAAAATATTTATTCATATTATAGTAAAATATATTGAATATAAATTTTAATGTTTACATTTAATTTAGACTTTATATCGTAAGGATGATGTGCAAAACTAATATTAAATTCCGTCATTAAGTTTATGTTTTAATGTAAGAAACTAACTGTTATGTTAGATCGTGAAAGAAACAAGATGGCTAATCACAAAGATTGAGCCCACCCTCTTCAAAAGCCATAAAAATACTGTATATGAACAAAATCAACAAAACAATTAAAAACATGTTTTTCACTTCTAACTAAAAGACTCATTTTTACATATAAGACTAAACTTTGTGGGAATTCTTCGTGTCCGAGACTTGAATTGAATGAAACTGCTGACCTCTCTTCTATTTGAATCAAATAACTATTGCATTAAAATGAAATGAATTCTAACAGAATAAAAGGCAACAAAAAGATAAGTAAAGAATGAAATCTGTTATATAATTTTTCTCGATTTTGGCTATAAATTAACGAATTTTAGTAATATCATCGCTAAGGGATAAGAGCATTATACACACAGTATATGAAAACCCAGGCTAGTATTTTTTATAATTTCGACGATCTTAATCTTATTTAACTTTTGTTCAAAGAAAGAAAATTATTTTATTTAAACTCAAATTAACAAATTTAACAGAAAAAATTTGCAAGATTTTTCCACCGAATACACTTCCTTCGTGGGTGATACATTACGATAAAAAATACTCATCGAAGGAAGTGTCACAAAAAATCGGGAATTGGACTAACCACCAGCTCCCTGCATAACCTTACCAAATTTGGTCATCAGAATAGTGGGTGGAATAACCTCCAAATAACAAGAAAGGGGAAAGTAGGTCAAGAGAGAGTTCGCCTGTCCTTTTCGAAGTGATCATTCCCGCCGTGCTCCACGCTAATCTCGATTTCCCATCATTTTTACCAGACCTTGGTCATTCTGAACTAAATACTGTGGACTGTTCTAAATACTGTGGACTCATCGTACCCAAGCCTTTCCCTCTTCCGGACGTCCAATCTAACATTACAGATCCACGTATTTATCGACTCGCGTACTTGTACGTAGTTGTAAACACTCTCTCACGTATAGGNAATAGCTTATAAGAAATAATTATAGCTATGATTTGTTTCTAAACTTGGAATTTGTTTTAGTAACTGTTTTAATATGCAGCTCTCCCTTGATAGTCCGACGTTTTTTAATCCGACATGCTCAGTAGTCCGACGCACCTCCCGTCAAAGTACCCGTCCCCGTTACGTGTCTGTTTGCACAGAAGCATGTCGCAACGTGAATCTCCCCATCCAATTTTTACACGATGACACACATTTCGTGTGTTTTCTGTGAGCAATTCTGTTCGAACAGTTGGAGTAGGGAATATTGTAAGCTACCGCTAGCAAAACAATGCAAAATATATAATTATTTTCGGTAATCCGGACACTTTTGGTAATCCAACACCCCTTTGGCCCCATACCTGTCGGCTATTAAGGGAGAGCTGTATACTTAAAGTTGTAAAATCTATTAATATCAGAATTCAATATAATAATTATTTGAAATTAATTTCTATTACTTATGTTTATTTTAATATTTACAAACTGTTCAGGGTGTAATCATGCTAAGCCACCTCTTAGTGGATCATTAACATGCAAAAATTATGGGGAAACAGAGTAAGTTTTCTTAAATCTTCAGTGCTTTTATTTACAATTTAAATTAATGTGACAATAAACTTATTTATAGATTCTGTCAAGCAACATGCATTGACAAATATAAATTTCCCGACGGTTCAATCGTTAAGAGCTACAATTGCTCTTTCAATGGAAACATATGGAGTAAAATTGAGATAATTCCTGATTGTGAACCTGCAAGTAAGAAAAATATATATATTAAGTAGTGAAAAATTAATTTGAATTAACTTGTAATTTGAAAATAATTAATAAAATTCGAAATTTATTTAGTACCTGGTATCGGTTGTAATATTGTTATAGGACAAAAACAATTTTCTGTATGTGTGACTGATCCAAGAGTTCAGTAAGTTATTTTTATATTTTAATTTCACATTTTAATTATGTTAAATATCATTAATCTATATAAATATATAAATATTTGATTAATACCTGTAATTAATGAAGAATCATTCATTTTAAACGCAAATTGGATTTGAGCCATAGAGAAGTTTTAGTTGTAGCTCTATAACTACAAATATAACATTTTCTTTCTCTTGCGCAAAATAATAAATTAAAAAGCGTGAAACTTTAGTAACATATATTCTATATTTTATTAGCTTAGGATCTCATGCAAAGAACTCTGACAGTTTATTACACGAGAACTTGAACCGTTGCTTTTTTGGCTTCTGTTTAAATCTTATCCTTATGTTAGTCTAACCTAATTTTCATGTAGAAACTTTTTATGTTGGCATATTCTTTATTTATTGATTTAAGTTTAATTTGTAGTGTTTAATAAATCATAATTTTTAGATTCTTATTATAATTTTTGTATTTTAGGCGTTGCAGATCAGAATGTATAGATGGATATAATTATCCTGATGGTTCGAAAGAAATAATAACTACTTGCACTAAAAGTGATGGTAAATATGACCCCGTAAAGGAAATTCCTGACTGTGAAATCGCAGGTAAAATTTATTACAAATTTTTAAAGCTTATTACATGCTACTATATTTTATATTATTGAAATTCTTGTTTTTCTTTTCTTTCTTCTTCTAGAGATTTATGATTTTATTGTAATTATATTTTAACAATACAATATGAATTATTCAGAAGAGCATTAAAAGTATTTTACTAGTTTTATCTACAATAAATATGTTTAATTTAAATGACTTACTAACAGTATATAGGCCATATAATATTATATTATACGAAATAATTCGTAACCATACTAATAAATGCTCGTAGATTCTACAATAGCTATAACAAGCCTATTAGTTTAAAATAATAAGCGAAAATTTATTTTCAAGTAAATTTAATTGAAAATAATTCATTCAAATGTATGAAATTATAATAATGTAACTACGTATTAAATTTAATATTACCTAATGAAGATTAAATGCTTTACACTTCATCTCTAAAATATTATTTTCTTGTGTGAAATAGAATAGGCTCTACAGAAATCCCGACAGAGATCACAGCTCTCTGTCTGGATTCACAAGCCAATTTTATGTTAATAGGGCAATTTGGTACTTAATTATAGTGACCCTAATATTTAGTCTATTATGTAAATAGCGAGTTTTTGTTTTTTAGTTGATATTTTTATGAGTATTTATTAGGAGAGAGGTAAATATTTCATTTGTGACTGACCTGTATATCATCTCTTTCAGGCTCTTCTCATAATCCTAACAACAATCGTTAAATGTAATTTGAAAAAGTCGCTAATTTACAATTATAGTTGAGATAAAATTATATAACATATCTCATTTTTTCTTATTTCTACGGTACTTTTCTTAAAATTATGATTTATTTTCATTGTAATGCAACCATTATCAAGAACAAATTGAACAGAAGCCAGCAGGATCTATTCAGACACGGGCACGTGATTTTAACCTCCAACTAAAATTACTTTTAGTTAGTGATAATAAAATAAATAAAAATATTTTTTATTTATTTTATTAATTTGATTCTTACATTTTTATGACTTCTGGAGAAAGTGGGCTCAATCTAACTAACCAAGGACTGCATCTTGTTTCTTTAAGGATTTAACAGTTTCTTGCGTTAACAAATATACAGTGCTTAGCCTACTGATCCAATTCAATATTAATTTTGCACAAGGTTCTTAAAATGAAAAGTTGTAAATTATATAAAAACAATAACAAATAAACTTATATTCTAATATAATGTAAATCATTGTTATCAATAAATTTTGTTTTAAAAATTATTTCTTTTTATTTTAGGTGTTGAAGATACAGAAGACAAAAGCTCCACTGAAGCAAACAATTTTGAACCAGGTTCTTAAAAGTTGTAAATTATATAAAAACAATAACAAATATATTCTAATATAATGTGAATCATTATTATCAATAAATTTTGTTTAAAAAATTTTGTTTAAATTTTAGGTGTTGAAGATACAGAAGACAAAAACTCCACTGAAGCAAACATTTGAATTTTAAGTCTTATTTTATTAATTACGGAAAATATTAATCATTCTGAATACTACATTTAATTTTAATTGACAAAAAGTAAAAAAAAAAATCGAAATATTGTGTAATTTAACTTTTCATTTAGTTATTGAAAATCTGTAATCTCATATAATAAATTATATATATTAATTCAATTAATATCATATGTAATGCACAATGTTAACAAAAATTTCACCCAGTTAATTATTTCAAAAGCTAATAGGAAAATAATTGTAAACCTTTAGTTGATGTGTACTATGTCAGTCATACTTTAAAATGACCCAGTGTTATCTAATTAAATGATGATGCAAATTTCTATTCTTTCAGCTCTTATATAGAAGAGGACGGTTGTCATCTCAGCCCCTAATGAAAATAGGCAAAATTATCAATTATATATATGTAGCACATAAAAGTATATGTACAATTTCTTTTTAGTCCATTCCTAAATATTAAGTGGAATCTTGGAACAGGTAAATGATTCACTGCATAACACTCAAGGCGGTAGCAGTGCATCACTCCGTAACACAAAGGCAATTCAGGAGTGGTTGAACGTGTGATTATGTTTAGGTTAGTAATGATGTGGCTATGCAAATAATCCGATTCAATAGAAAATATGAAATACCGTTAAATTAAACACACAAACATCACAGACGTTTGTATATGCCGTTTAATATGACATCTGTACATGCCTGTACATAATATGATATGGATATGAACATTTTCATATCCGTATTAATGCTAACTTGAACCTAACTATATATTTAACCATTTCTTCAAGACAGCGGATGGCCGCGCGGTTTAACGTGTTTATCGCTCTGTGAGACCCGGGAAGGAATCCAGATAGGTCGAAAAACATTAATAATTTTTCTTGGATTGTCCGTCCCAAATATGTCAGGCTCATCGCCTCTCCATCCGGCCGTCCAATTAAGACCCTAACTTAACTCTCGATGAATTTGATTAAAAAAAAAGTCTTCCCAGCACCCACAGAGCGAAAAAAATAACCATTAATACATTGCATTCGTGTTATGCAGTGATGCATTTTGTGAAATGAAGCATCTACCTTTACATTTGACAGCGTGTTTCCAGAATAGGCTGTCAAATATGCAATCCCACAGTAATTCCCTATCAGTTTTTGAGATAATGACCGGGGAGAAACCTTTTTGTAATGAAAATTTTATTTACTTTTAAAATGTAATATCTTCTATGATTTTGTTCTTAATAAACTATGGCATTATTACTAATTATACAAATTATGAAATTTAAAACTTTTTAAAAATTATTTACCAATTTTATTCGTCTGCTAAAAATGTTTTCTTGAATTTAAAATTTTTATTTTAAATTTATTAAATAATGTATGTTTTAAACAAGCTTGAACGAGCGTTTTATACGACATTAAATTAAATTTCACAGAACCAGCGAGATTCCAGTCTAATAATAATTTCGGATGATTATGAAATTATAATTTTTTGTAACTTCATCAAAATGGTTTAAAATAAAAAGCATCCTTATTATTTGCTGTCTTGATTGAAACTAATCAAATTAGCAGTTATATTAGTTTTATCGCCTAAAGTGCTGCAATAATATCAAAGAAAAAGCAAAGGAACCACACCTCTTTATATGATACTTCGAGAGATATAGCCCTGAGAAATCAGCGTACAGCCTGCTTCCAAGCACTATACGGAGTCAGGCTGTGTGCTCCGCTAAGATTATCGCATGTTTAACACACAGCGATCAGACAACTAACGTTATTTATCGGTAAAGAAAAGTCCGACATGTGACTCTTTGTCATATATTCACGTCCAAATGTGGAAACCCAACGGCGGCAGTCTCCATCTTGCTTGCGGATGTCATGCTTGAAAATAATTTCTGGGCACGTGATCAGTGCCTGTAACAAATAAATGCATTAACTTCTATTGACCAAAAACAGTATTTATCTTGAACCACTACTACTACCTACTCCGTGCTCCGTGTCGGTCAAGGCTCGGTATTGCTTGCCTTGACTACGCTCCACTTATCGTGGTGTGCTTCGGTGCTCGCTATCGCTCTCATCTTTACGCCCGCATGGCGGCGAGCCTTCTTACCCCCTAAAACTATATCATCTTCACGAACAGTCAAGTGGGCACAATTGCGTGCTAAATAGTTAAACGCGATAGTTCTAACAGATCGAGAGTCGCCACGCGTACTACGCGCGACTCCGATAGCGTGAGGCTGATTTCGGGAGGCCTATATCTCGTAATGTAAAGGAATGGTTCCTTTTTGACTTTATAACTCTATAGCTATAGAGCGATAAAGCTTTTTGGCTCCCTGCTTTATAGCTCTGTTAAAGGTCCCAACAATATTAATCACATCTGCAATTGTACTCAGTTTAGAATGTTCATTTATCCGTCTACAGTTCTGTACCAATCTTGCTTTTTTTTCTTATCTGCAGGGAATCTAAATAATCGAACATACGAAGATTTATTTTTACAATTTGGTCCCACGCAATAGCCCATTCTTTCACTTTATGAACACTTAAATAGAGACGACTCACACAGGAACCTCGTATAAGGTATATACTCTATCGATAAGCCTCAAAATGGCCGTTGCCGCAAAGGATCATGGGATCGTGTCCAGACCTATTTTTATAGACCTTGATATACGTTAGCATCGAGTTGCTTAAGTTTCCCGATACCATTTAAAACTGTGTGTGGTGTCATCTGTTGTGGTATTTTATTGAAAAACTTTTTATATTTTTAATTTTATAAGAATGGCAAAAAGCTGTTATAAGTAAATTATTCTGGAATGATGATGTTCATAGTTTATTTAAATATTCTCTATTATTTTTTATATAAACAATATTTATATAGCCCAACCAATTAGTGTCAGATCCTGTATCCTAGGTGGCCATGAAATTGGTCTATCACGTTCAATGCATTGTTCTCCGAACATGTCATTATGCTTGTCACTGTTACTTTGATAGTAAATTTGCCCCATTTCACGCAGAGAATGAAAAGAGACTTTATTTTTACGGCATTAAAAAGGTTCCTCGAAAATATTAAGTTTTAATTCTTATCAATTTTTTCTTACAAGCATATTTTCTGAGATATTGCCTTGTAACACCTTACGTATACATACTGTACTAAGTAGACCTTATTTTACTACAGAGATATCCGACGCTGTCCGAGCTAAAAATAATAATTACTTTTATATGGTTTAAGTGTAATTGTTTAAAAATTGGCCGATTTATATTTTACATATTAAAATATAAAATAAATTAACAATATTTTGTGAATAATTCATGAAAAAATATAAAATAATAAATATCAAATTATGCATCTTGAATATATTTTATATTTTTAATGGTTGTTTTTATTATTTCTTCTGCAGGACACAGGGTAGTATCCATTCTACTTACGCTGATAAATTGCTCTTATATGGCATAATAAACAGTATTTCGAATTTTGGTACCAAGGGAACTACTTTATTAATTTTTAACTCAATCATACCATTACATTCCTTGTAAGAAGTCATCCTTAATAAACCCTTTCGAGCTTTCTAGTTACTTCACCCTTAACTTCTGTAACGTACAGACACTCATTCAAAAATATATGTATTTATTGATTTAATTGTATAATTAAATAATTACGTATGTTACATTTTTTTTTGTAAATTCTAAAAATAAATAAGATTATTTCCGAATATGTTACATATTGTTGATCCATGTAACTTATTATATGAAATTACAAATTATTAGTAACAAAATAATAATTCAATGAGTTAATATTCTCGATTTTCTGGATTACAGTATTTTATTTCGAGTAAAATCAACTAATATTCAGAATGATTAATATTTCCGTAATTTATATTCTTATTTGGGAAGAAAACTCAATGATATTATTGATAATTTAGAAAGCTCTTCTTTACCTAAAATAAATATAGATGATTTTTTTAATCAAAACATTTATTCATATTATAGTAAAATATATTGAATATAAATTTTAATGTTTACATTTAATTTAGACTTTATATCGTAAGGATGATGTGCAAAACTAATATTAAATTCCGTCATTAAGTTTATGTTTTAATGTAAGAAACTAACTGTTATGTTAGATCGTGAAAGAAACAAGATGGCTAATCACAAAGATTGAGCCCACCCTCTTCAAAAGCCATAAAAATACTGTATATGAACAAAATCAACAAAACAATTAAAAACATGTTTTTCACTTCTAACTAAAAGACTCATTTTTACATATAAGACTAAACTTTGTGGGAATTCTTCGTGTCCGAGACTTGAATTGAATGAAACTGCTGACCTCTCTTCTATTTGAATCAAATAACTATTGCATTAAAATGAAATGAATTCTAACAGAATAAAAGGCAACAAAAAGATAAGTAAAGAATGAAATCTGTTATATAATTTTTCTCGATTTTGGCTATAAATTAACGAATTTTAGTAATATCATCGCTAAGGGATAAGAGCATTATACACACAGTATATGAAAACCCAGGCTAGTATTTTTTATAATTTCGACGATCTTAATCTTATTTAACTTTTGTTCAAAGAAAGAAAATTATTTTATTTAAACTCAAATTAACAAATTTAACAGAAAAAATTTGCAAGATTTTTCCACCGAATACACTTCCTTCGTGGGTGATACATTACGATAAAAAATACTCATCGAAGGAAGTGTCACAAAAAATCGGGAATTGGACTAACCACCAGCTCCCTGCATAACCTTACCAAATTTGGTCATCAGAATAGTGGGTGGAATAACCTCCAAATAACAAGAAAGGGGAAAGTAGGTCAAGAGAGAGTTCGCCTGTCCTTTTCGAAGTGATCATTCCCGCCGTGCTCCACGCTAATCTCGATTTCCCATCATTTTTACCAGACCTTGGTCATTCTGTTCTAAATACTGTGGACTCATCGTACCCAAGCCTTTCCCTCTTCCGGACGTCCAATCTAACATTACAGATCCACGTATTTATCGACTCGCGTACTTGTACGTAGTTGTAAACACTCTCTCACGTATAGGAGAGTGTTATTTCTCTCCTATAGGAATTACGCTCTCCTATAGGAGAGCGTAATTCCTATAGGAGAGAAATAACATACAGGAAGGAATTACGCTCTCCTATAGGAGAGCGTAATTCCTTCCTGTATGTTGAAAGCTTTCATCTGTAATTATGAAAAATTTTAATTTTCATGGCAACCATGTTGGAAAAATGTAAAATGTTAGAAGAGAAGAACATTTTGATAATTTCTGGTGTATAAAATTATACACCAGAAATTCTCTTTGGGATATTGTATATACCGGTATGCTACGTGTTGCTTATAATTTTCTTTTTCTTATTTCAACTGCGTTCATGAAAATAGTATTTAATTAGGCAACAAGTGTACTGTACAATAGTTAAAGTCATAATTGCATATCAGTCTCAAGTGATCGAAATCATATTTTACGAATTTTAATAAGTTTGTTTTTATTTTGTTAAATGAAATGTTCTGAATTAAATAAACTGTTTTTTTTCTTACATTATAGATAAAATTTATATTTAAAAAATTCGTTTTCGATGTAAGTCTTACCTCCCGCGCTGTACGAGGGTTTTCTGCAT